ATAGAATCTTAAAATAAATATTGCTATGTACCTCATGTTCTTTTGTGAGTAGACTTTAAGCCAAAAAAGTTAATATAAATAAATAATAGCCTATAAGACTGTATTGTCAAGTTCAAGAGAATAACAGGTCATGCTGAATGAAATGGTTTACTATCGCTTATGGTAATTCTGACTCTTGGAACTCTGTTCTCCCCATCGATCTTCGCTTGTTCGTGCAGAAAATACTTTTCGAGTAGATGAATCATGAGTAGTTAACCAAAACAAACTTTTGCCCATGAAGTTCATTGAAAATTCTTAGAAATAATGTCTTCGAAATAATCGCTATCTTCTCGGCCTGAAATCTTTGTTTACGAAATTGATAAATTAATATTTCTAGTTTGGCTGTTTTGAATTGCGGCGATTAACGAAATAGAGCATGCGTAGACATAAACTTGTGACGCGTGATCTACTAGCTCCGCCCTCTCATAATCACTTGACAACATAGTGACATTGATTGACCTCTGGTACATGATAATTGATTGCACTATGAATGTGAATTTTATAGCAGATGCCCGCAAAGGTCGCTTGGGTAAGTTCCTGAAGACCCCTGAGTAACGATTGCGCAAATTTGCCATTTTGCCGAGAAGAAAAAAAACAAAAAACAAAAAAATAAAAAGGAATGTTACGGCTGTGGTGCCATAGGTATCCCAGTAATACGCCTAACCAAAATCGAGGAAGGGACTGGGCCCCAGGGAAAATGTTAATCTAATTAAGAAATGATGTCCAACACAAAAAGGATGATATTAGTAATATTAGTACTATTACCAAGTTTACCTATTTGAGTAGCAAGCTTTTAAATATCGTAAAATTAAGAGAATGCATGGGGTTTGAGGACAGCTTCTCCGCCAAAAACTATGCATTCTCTGATTTTACGATCTTTCTAAAGCCTGCTAATATAATCGATCAGTATTTGMCCAAACATTCTCAAACTCGATAAACTTAATAGCTTTCGTGTGAGCTTTCATGTGATGGGTTTTTTCTTAATGAAATGTAATATTTCTACACTTGTTCGCATTTGCTTTGCGCAATTCCATAAAGGCTAACAGATTCTCTTTAGCTCGGGCGTAATGTCCTCGTTATTTTCTTTCTTTACTTATGCAATATTTAGGATAATAGGGTACAAGCGTTGTTAAGTAATCTGAGATCTATATTACCATGAAGATCTCCTTTACTAGAATCCCTTTGATGACGAGAATTAAAAATAGGATCATTCAGATATGCATTTGCTACCATCACTGAAGCCAGTACAACAAACATGGCAAGACAAAGGAAGCTCCCTTGAGCCATTGTGGGAACTTGGTTTCTTCAAGATAGAGTAAAAATAGAATTGATTTAACTGATTAGAACTGATTAATTGTAAATCAAATCAAAAGGCAAGGCAAGGAAAGGTAAGGCAAGGCAAGGAAAGGCAAGGCACGCAAGTTACGAATATTTTTGCTTACTCTTTCTTTTTCTCTGCTTTCTTGATTCTCTTCTGTTATCTCTGCTTGGTGGCAAGTGCTCAACTGTGATTGAGATCCATGCCTTGCRCTTTTTATGTGCTTAGCTTTAATTGTATTCAATCAATTAAGGCCCCGTCCACATTATGCCGGATAAATTTGAATGCGAATTTTTATTTATTCGGTTAGGCCTACCGTCCACACGAGTCCGGGCGACTCCGGAACAATTCTTCTCCGAAAACGAATTTTTTCGAATACGGTCTCCAGAACA